CCATCTCAAAATTTTCTAGTATCATTTTCACAACCCCTAAGACCTCCTAAATAAATATCTATCAAAGTTGTTTTTAATTTTTAGAAAACTTTGTATTTTATGTGTTAATTTCTCTACCCTAATTTTTTATGAGGTCTGTTGATTTGACTGACCTTGTAACCACCATAAAAAATTAGGGGTAATTTATAATTATTTCCTATTTTATTTCTGGAATATTGTAACGGTTGTTTATTCTAAGTAGCTTAAAGTTTGTAACAGTGTACATCTTTTTATTGTTTTATTGCCCTTTGAACTGTGTTTACTACTATTCTCACCATATAAATTGCAAATCACATGGTGAATGTGCAGCTCTCATTATGATGTCGAATTACATAATGCAACTACTCGAGATCATACCTCATAAAGGATTATTTTACTTATATTATCTAACCTAAAAAGATTTCAATTTTTGTGTTTTAGTTACTTTTATAATAATAATAATAAAACTTATCGATGTTTTTTTAGTTTTGAAAAAAAGATTGTGTACATGAAAATTCCAAAATTAAATATTTATTGGGGTCTTTTCTTCTCTCTCTCTCTCTCTTCTTTTTTTTATACTAATTATATTACTGCATTAAATAATTTATATTTGATTAAATAATGCACCAAAGAATAGCAACATGTTAAAAGGAAACAATGTTCCATAACTATCACAATTTTTCTGGCTTTCTAACTGTTAAAAACTCAGCTAAGCTTGTCTGTGTGTTTCCTGTGGGAATAAAGTTTGAACTGGAAGGAAAATAGATAACTCTCTGTATGGACAACAACGTAATATAATACGTTATTGGACAGAGAAAAACTTTGGCCTTCTGTGTCAGAGATAACTAGTGGCAAGTTCTGAAAGAGAGGATGTGACAGGTGGGCAGGGCAATAGGTGTCTGATAATTCACTGTTCTGTAACTAAATAAGATTGAAAAGTTATGTAAATTATGCTTTGCCTGAGCAATGAAAATATTATAATGAGTAATTTACATTAAATTTTGTACTTCTTGGAGGGGTGGTAAAAACATTAGAGAAGAGGACATACCTAGATAACAAACATCAGAGTTCTCATACTAGGGGAGATAGAGAATTTTTTAAAAATATTTCTTTATAAAATTAAGAACTTAAGTAATACTAAACTTTGATTTATTATCTATGTTCCAATGCTGATTTTATTCATATACATTGACAATATAGTAATTTAATTAAATTTTGAATGTAACTGTGAAAGGTTATGACATGCACACTTTGACCTACCTGTGGTGAAAGGGTTAATCCTGTGGTAATTTCGCGTGGCTTTAATTTCATGCAATTTATTGTCATTGATGAAACCTGTTAGAAGTTGACTGTGAACAGCTGTGTTCAAACTGTATGCAGTTTAGTTTGTTATGGTACAAAGTTCGAAGTAAAGTACTTGTCCTTGCCTTGCACATGTGGTGTTTTGCAGTGCGTATTCAGTACCCAGGGGTCAAATCTCATATGACCCGACAAATTCTCATATGTACAGGACGCAGGAGTTTGGGTTAACTAGAACCCTGAATTAGATTAAAAATTAAAAGAACTGAAGGAATAAACATACATACATATAACACACTGTGTACATATGTAAATTTTTGTGGAAATTGAAAAAAAAAGTAATTATCTATGCATTTGTCATTCTCTACCAGGTTGTCCAGAGATATTGAATCAGGATCTGTGCACGTGTCCATCTGGTTTTGTTGTTTCTGTTTAATAATACAAGTTCATTTATATAAAATTGTTCTCATGTTATAAGCCTAGCTACTCAACTAATTCCATGAAAACTATGCAAATTGTCCTAAAAAAATTATATTTTGGATTGAAATGTCCTGTAAAAGTCCTAGAAAAAAAATCTCCTGAAAGAGTATGAATGCTGTTGCTTCCATACTTGCAAAATGCAATTAATCTTAACTGATGTGTTGTCAAAGAAGAACATTTTTGTAGCTTTCAATAAATATAATTCAAAACAAAAACATTTTTAGATTTTTCATTAGATTTTGTTGTCCTTTTCGACAAGAAATCCACTGAGTTACTTTTACACAAAACCATGAATTACTTCTGTTATTACTTTATTCACTATATAATGACATATATACTTTATAATCCACTCTATCCAGTGGTATTTAAACTTTGCCTTTTGCTCTTTTTAAAGCTTAGTTTTATTAGTAGTTGTTCATGTCACCTGTAAGATCATAAAAAGGCTGGAATTAAAGCAGTGAAAATAAAGGAAAATCTCTTGAGAAACAAAACATGGATAATTCTCAAGAAATAATAGTTCCTTAGCAACTATAAACCTATGGTTGTCGATAGGCAAAAAAAAATCTTAAAGAATTTGTAAGTGCATTATTTACATATAATACTTCTCAGGGATGTGCAAAAATGAAGGTTTTAACATTTTTTAAAATTTTCTTTGTGATTAACACTAAAAAATATTCCAAAATGGCAAAATATGTATCACAAAATAAACCTGAGCTAAATATTGTTGAAATATAATAGGAATTATTATTTTTAAAAAAATTTTTAAATTTGATATGCAGATATGCAATCGACACTTGAAAGATTCTCTGCATTCCAGAGTTCCGGTGTAGTTTTGTGTTATATTGATTTTTCAGTCATTTTCAGTTTAAAGAGATCAGTCACCAAATTTTGCAGTCTTTTTATGAAAACCAGGTAAAATAATGTGTAGAAGGTTTAGTATAGTACTTGGAATATGTAAAATATTTATGGATATTGAACGAGGTGTACAGTGCTTCATAAGCCTTGTCCAAACTAACAATGTTTTTAATGTGTACATATGTGGCTTCCATTTTTATGTAAAATTCCCTTAAAATTGAAATTCCTACATCAAATTTTCAGCGTTTCAACAGTGTCCCGGATCAGCAACTGTCATCGAGATACAATGCCAGTTTATTAGGGCAGACCAATCAGTCACAAGTGTCTCCTGGTCAACAGTCTCCATACTCTCCACTTTCTCAGCAGCCTTTCCCAAGTCCAAGTCCACCAGTTAGTAACAGTTTTTCCCAGCACAGACTTCCTTCCTATTCCTCATCTACTATACCAGTTACAGGAGGAGGGCCACACTCTCCCCATCTTCAAGCACTTTCCTCACAGCCTCAGTGGAACCAAAGAAATGTATCAAATTCTGTTCAACATCAGAACCCTATGTTGAATGCCCAGTTGTCACAGGTTAGTTATCACAGCTGTACTGTTATTCTGATGTTCTTATGAAAGGTTTTAACCCTACTGAGATGGTTGTGGTGCTTAACACCCATCACTGGTCTTGCAAAGCTGTACATAACAAATGTTCATTATAATTATGAATTCACTAAGTATGTCTTCATGAAATTTGTCAAGAATTTTACTTTTAGTAAACATTACAAGTCTCTTGTACAGAAAAAATATTATCTTTTAAAAAAAGTATTTTTTACTAAAACATTTTCTATGCATTTAGTGATTTACAGAGTCAGTCTGAATTGGACTGACTGGTCTGAATGCAAGGTGATTTTCATTGCTAAGACTAAAAACACTTCTCTTCATCTTACAGTTTCATATTTAATTAACTTAACCTCTAGAATTTCCTAAATGAATATCAAAAGTTTTAAAGATAAAAGTTTGTTTCATCTGTTATTCTGTCTATCTAACAGTAAATGTAGCTGAACCATCAATTTACAGTAAAATGAAATTATGAAATTTTTTTCCTTATTATTTTTTGAAAATGTCATTTTGGGATATTGTTGGTTTCCTAATATGTTCACAATTTCAACTGTGTTCCTTTTCACCTAATAGTTTATTTTAATTTTACAGTTTTATTGCCTGGCTTGTATGCCATACAGTTTATTCATCCATAAAAAGCAATATTACAGTGGAAACACATAAGCAGGTTGTTGTACACCAATGTACAATACTAAAATTGTGTACTTGGACAAATAGGCCTAGTTTTTTCTCTTAAGTATATAAGTATATTGCCTAATCAAAAATTGATGTACATTTCAGATATGTATATTAGAACATAAATAATACAGAAATCGCTAAAGTAGAATGTTCAAAAACAAATACAATTTGACC